GCTAGTGGATGTGATGGAATTCCAGTTGAGCTATTCCAAATCCTGAAAGATGATGCTATGAAAATGCTGCACTCAATATGCCAGCAAATTTGGAAAACTCAGCAGTGGCCACAGGACTGGGAAAGGTCAGTTTTCATTCCAATCCCTAAGAAAGGCAATCCCCCAAAATGCTCAAACTACCGCACAATTGCACTCATCTCACGTGCTAGTAAAGTAACGCTCAAAATTCTCCAAGCCAGGCTTCAGCAATATGTGAACCGTGAACTTCCAGATGTTCAAGCTGGTTTTAGAAAAGGCAGAGGAACCAAAGATCAAATTGCCAACATCTGCTGGATCATCGAAAAAGCAAGAGAGTTCCAGAAAAACATCTATTTCTGCTTTATTGACTATGCCAAAGCCTTTCACTGTGTGGATCACAATAAACTGGAAAATTCTGAAAGAGATGGGAATACCAGACCACCTGACCTGCCTCTTGAGAAACCTGTATGCAGGTCAGGAAGCAACAGAACTGGGCATGGAACAGCAGACTGGTTCCAAATAGGGAAAGGAGTAGGTCAAGGCTGTATATTGTCACCCTGCTTATTTAACTTCTATGCAGAGTATATCATGAGAAACACTGGTCTGGAAGAAGCACAAGCTGGAATCAAGATTGCTGGAAGAAATATCAATAACCTCAGATATGCAGATGACACCACCCTTATGGCAGAGAGTGAAGAGGAACTAAAAAGCCTCTTGATGAAAGTGAAAGAGGAGAGTGAAAAAGTTGGCTTAAAGCTTAACATTCAGAAAGCTAAGATCATGGCATCTGGTCCCATCACTTCATGGGAAATAGATGGGGAAACAGTGGAAACAGTGTCAGACTTTATTTTTGGGGGCTCCAAAATCACTGCAGATGGTGACTGCAGCCATGAAATTAAAAGACGCTTACTCCTTAGAAGGAAAGCTATGGCCAACATAGACAGCATATTAAAAAGCAGAGAAAATACTTTGCCAACAAAGGTCCGTCTAGTCAAGGCTATGGTTTTTCCAGTGGTCATGTATGGATGTGAGAGTTAGACTGTGAAGAAAGCTGAGCACCGAAAAATTGATACTTTTGAACTGTGGTGTTGGAGAAGACTCTTGAGAGTCCCTTGGACTGCAAGGAGATCCAACCAGTCCATCCTAAAGATCAGTCCTGGGTGTTCACTGGAAGGACTGATGCTGAAGCTGAAACTCCCAATACTTTGGCCACCTTATGCGAAGAGTTGACTCATTGGAAAAGACCCTGATGCTGGGAGGGAAGGCAGGAGGAGAAGGGGACGACAGAGGATGAGATGGCTGGATGGCATCACCGACTTGATGGGCATGAGTTTGGGTAGACTCCGGGAGCTGGTGATGGACAGGGAGGCCTGGCGTGCTGCGATTCATGGGGTCGCAAAGAGTCGGACACGACTGAGCGACTCAACTGAACTGAACTGGTATGATTGAACTTTGTGAATTCAAAAGCACTACATAGCATTAAGGGTTAAGATTAGAAGTATGAAATATGTTAGTATTTCAATGGCTAAAAAGTTAGTATTTTAATGGCTAAAAAGGATTATTTTCCTCAGTAATCTTTGATTCCAGTTAGAATGTTTTTCATAAAACTCTGTAAAATTATTTATACTTTGAATTTTAAAATATGGCCCACAAAAGCTTAGTTCTTTTCTCAAAATTCCTTCTTTGCCCAAAAGAAGTCCATGCCTGATGTAACTTAACTTATTCATCTTAAAGATGAGGAAACAATCCAGAAACATCAAGTGACTTTATTTCTAAAATGGAAGCAACTTGAATAAAGGATTTTCCTGATCTTCGTGGATTTTTGGATCCTTCTCCACTGGGTGTTCACTAATTGAAGTAAACAGCTTCTTGTCTACATTACCCACATGGACTCTTAAACATGTTCCCAGGGCATTTCTGAAGGGGAAAAAAAAGGGGAAAAAAAAAATCTACTCTCTGGTGTGGTGCTAGATTTCGAGAGGGAAGTGAAAAGTCAATTTTCCAACCGTGGATTTTTTCTAGAGGTGAAGCAATCCATAAGCAAGTTCCTTTCTCCTTCAGTTACTTGGCCGTATTTTGAAACGAAACCTGAGATACCATAAATTGCTGAGTCAGACTGCTCTAAAATATCAATATTTAGCCCCCTTCTTCCTAAATTCTTCCCCATTCCTAAAACTGTTTTGTCTTTATGGTTGATATTCCATTATATATACGTACTACTTCTTTATCCATTCATCTGTAAGAACATCTAGGTTGCTTCCATGTCCTGGCTATTATAAATAGTGCTGTGATGAACACTGAGGTTCATGTGTCATTTTGAATTATGGTTTTCTCAGGATATATGCCCATAGTGGGATTGCTAGGTCATATGGTAGTTTAATTCCTAGCTTTTTAAAAAAAGAAATCTCCATAATATATACAATACCATGTGTAAAATAGCTAATGGGAAGCTGCTGAATAACACAAGGAGCTCAGCCTGGTGCTCTATGATACCCTAGAGGGTGAGACGGGGGGTGGTGGGAGGGAGGCTAGAGAGGGAGGAGATATATGCATACTTACAGCTGATTCATGTTGTACACAGCTGATTCATGTAGGGCAGAAACCAACACAACGTTGCAAAGCAATTACCCTCCAATTAAAAAAATACTAAAAAAACCTTTTTATTAAAAAAACAAAAACTGGTTTGACCTGTACTCACATAGGTGCACCTTCGTGGCTCAAATGGTAAAGAATCAGCCTGCACTGCAGGCTGGGTTGGGAAGATGCCCTGGAGAAGGGAATGGCTACCCACCCCAGTATTCTTGCCTGGAGAATCCCATGGACAGAGGAGCCTGGCAGGCTACAGTCCACGGGGTCCCAAACAGTAGGACTCGACAGAGCAACTAAGACTTTCATGTTTTTCACTTTCACATAGGTGCACATCTGCCATTAGTTGCTTAATAATCTCACAAGTGTGGTAACTACTTGTCCTGTAGATAAAATATTAGAACACTCACCTCCTCCAAGAAAAAGTTGTGTTTCTCACCTCCCCCATTCTGCTACCTTCTGGAAAGGAAGCTCAAAGAACCACTAGGGACTGATCTAGTGATCCTTTGTTCTCCATCAAAAACTGACTGATGGAAGTTAGGAGTTGAAACAATAAACGATAAAAAGAGGTTAAAAAGATTTTCAGAAAAAAAAAAAGATTTTCAGACACTGGCTTGGTGGGCATTTTTCTGTAGTTTGTGTTCATGTTTTTTAATTGTTTTATTTCAATACTTTCTGAGATATCTGTTCCATCAATACATGAATTCTGACTATAGATTTTTCCAGACTTGGGAATCACAACCTTGTAATTCCCATTTGTCATATGGGACTCATGTTTTACCAGTTGATGCCACTCCCTGGTATATGATACCACTGCCCCTCCTAATTATTCACGCAGAAAGACTTCAACTTTAGGCAAAAGGTTTCATGCTGTATCAATTACTTCAACTTTGGAATTCAGATAGTTATAAACCAGGAGAATAAGTAGCCATAGAATTAGATTTTTAAGTTTAAGATACTCTGGAAGCTATCACACTCATGTCCCTTCCTCAATTCACAAAACACTATGACCAGCATCCTTTTAACAACTTTTACAAACTTTAATCTACTTGATCTATGCTCTCAACAAATTTTATGGTTTTTTGAATGTTGGGTTTTCAGTATGGGGGAAAATATTCAGATTGGGGATTTTAAAAAACTCTTAAAGTCCTATAACTCCTATCTCTTAAAGGCATAAAAATCATGGAAAGACTGATGGAGTACACAACTTTTCATGTTTCAAAACGTTATAAACTGCACTGTATTTTGGACTGTGTAAGTCAAATCTAAGATTATCAACTCCCTTAATACCCCTTGTTGATTTTATTATCATATGCAAAGCATTAAAATAGGAGCTGCATAAAGAAAACACATAGAAGTAGGGTTACCAGATAAAATGGAAGATGCTGTTATATTTGAATTTCAGATAAACAAATTTTTAGTATAATTATGTCCCAAATATCGCATATACTAGAACATCATTTGTTATTTAAAATTCAAATTCAACTGGTTGTCCTATAATTTCATTTGCTACATCTAGCAATTTGTAGAAGATCCTTATCTCTGGCAAGCTTACTATTTAAGAGGCAAATTAACAAAAGATCATAAGATGTATGTGATAAGTGCAGTAATATAATCAGGAGAGGAGATCTCCCCTGATTACCACAGAAGAGTACCTGGAAAATATGGCAACTGCAGTTCCTAAAAGATGACTAAATGCAGATTGCCAGATATGTGGTTTAGTGTGATTTTCAGAGTTCAAGTGTCCTGAGTTAAATCCCAAATCCACTGTTCACTAGCTATGTAACCTTGGATAAATTAATCTCTATTATAAAATGAGGCTACTAATACCTGCTTTATTAGGCTGCAGATCAGAGATAATACATGCACAAAGCACCTAGAACATGGGAGGCACTTCCAAAATGGAAATATCCACTATCAGAAGGTCACATGGCAAGAAGGGTACTTGTCACAGATATTCAAATGTTAATACTATGCAGTAAATTTATTTCCATGATCTATTTACACTGTACAAACACTGTTGAAAAGCACCCTACAAGTTCACAGTACATTACAATATATTTACTTTAAAAATATACTCCTTTATAAAAGGTTCATAGAACATTGGCATGTCAACTTGGGATGAAACTCGGAGCATGTCACCAATTCTGCGGTAGCAAGAATGCTTCCAAGCATTGTCAATTACACAATCACAAGTCACCATTTCAGTTTTAAATACATATTTTTAAATAAAAAATGAATTCTACAGTGGAAAGTTCCAGCAGGAATACTCATTAGTTAATTAACATATATTTCCATGGAGATGTTGTTTCATAATAATTTACAGTATCAACTTAATTTGTCAAAAAGACCCATTTCAACAAGTTTTGCAGTCCAAAGATTCTTGTCATTCTTGTCTATTTTTTCTTCTTTGTTGGTTCTCCCACTTCTATTTTGCGCTTTTTAGAAGTATGCTCATCTTTTTCATCATCTTTAAATAGGAAAGGAAGAGTTTCAATCAGTAACTTTAAAAAAATATTAAGCATTAAAATTTCATTGACTCTATACCAAAAATCATCCTCCTCAACTAATGTTTCTTTCAGTTTTCCAATAAAAAACTTAAAGGCAGCTGACAATGAGAAAATCAAATTTGTTCTGATGAAGCTACTCTCAAATATTCTACAGTATATACATGGTGACTATTTAAATACATAATCTACATGTTAAGAATGGGATATTTTCTGTTCTTTTTTACAAAAGAAGATGTCAATTTAACCATGACATTATTTAAGTGACTATCTGGTAGTTTTTCCCTTCTAATCTGCCTTCTCTCCCCCACAAACAACTCCCCTCCCTATTTCATCTCCCCATCCCCACCCCCACACTTACTTTTTGAAGTTAAAAAAGCACTCACAGGTAGATGTTTCACTGAAACTGTATTTTCAATTTTGTCCTATGTAGGTAGTTCTACTTTCTCCCCCATTCCCAGGAGGGTCAGAATATTCCAATGGCAAGACAAAAACAGGCTTCTTCCCCCCCTTCATATTATGGAGAATTGGGAGAGGGGAGGGGAGAAGAACCTCAAATTAAAACCATGTCCTTTACACTTTTCGAAAATGTTATTAATATCTGTAGTCACAGAAAATTTCTAACTAATAAATAAAAATATTGTAAAATCTCGAACAGTGGGCCCTTTTATTCAATTAAAACAATCCAGCTACACATTTCAACAAAATACAGGGTAGCACAGAGCAGCTGTTAATTCCCATCCCTGAACAAACGTGTGGCATTATTTTAAGAACTCCACACAGATGGAATAAATTACACGTAGGAGATGTTATGATGTTATGATTTATAAAGTACAAATTTATTTTAAGCACATCACTGAATTCTTTGTACTTTACTTCTCAATCAAGAGATACTTGAAGTTCAATAACTACCCATGTGGTAGCCTATAAAAAATGTTTTGATGCTGAAAGGGGACTTGATATTAAAAAATCTGGGAAGCCAACTGATATAGAACACAGACTTTTTTTTTTCAACTTCCCTTTTATTATTAACAGTCAAGAGAACAATGCCAATGTCACTGTTATTACTCAACACTTCACATTTACAAAATGACTTCAGTCATTTTTACATGTTATTTTTTGATATTCTTCTGATAGCAACTGAGGAGTTCTGTCACTACTCTTTTTTTTAAATTGGATTAAAATCGACGCTAACATTAGTTTCAGGTGTACAGCACAGTGATTTGATATTTGATTTTATATTTTATATTTTATATTATGAAATGATCACCACAATAAGTCTAGTTTAATCACCTGTCACTGTACAGAGTTATGACAATATTATTGACTATATTCCCTACGCTGTACATTACACCGCTGTGCTTTACTTTATAGCTGGAAGCCTGTACCACTTAATCCCACTCACATATTTCACCTGTCCCCTTAACTCCTTCCCTCTGGCAACTACCAGTTTGTTCTCTTTATCAAGGAGTCTGCTTCTGTTTTGTTTGTTCATTTGTTTTTCGGATCACAAATTCATTATGGGGAAAATAAACTTACAACCTCAAGCCGGGACTTTTCCTAGTGGTCCAGTGGTTAAGAATCTGCCTTGCAGTACAGGGATGTGGATCAGGAAACTAAGATCCCACCTGCCTTTGAGCAGCTAAGCCCTCGCATGGCAACTACTGGGCCCACGTGCCACAACTAGAGTCCGAGTGCCACAACAAAAGATTCTGCATGAGGCAACTAAGACCCAACTCAGCCAAACATAAATAAATTAAAGAAAACAAAACCAAACCCTAAGCCTTCAATTCCCTTCTGATAACTACCATATTCAGAATATTTCCTTTGTTGATATGGACAATAATTAGTATCAAAGCAGGTAATGCATCTTCAAAACCAGCCAAGGTCTTTGTCTTTTAATTGGATTTTCATTATCACCATTGGATTTTCATTATCACCATGACTGACTTTTGAGATTCTTTTCATTCGTAATATAAAAATTGAAATTACTGTTAAACTCTACTAGAAAATGCACTGCTAACATATACTAAAAAGGCGATCCTGAGACAGTTCTGCTTTTAGTCTGTCACTTACTACAAGTGCACTTACTGAATAACAAGAAAAACAAACTACTGAGGCTAGAAAAATAACTTCCCCCCAGTCGCTGAACAGACAATGCCATCTAGTGATCTAACAAGGCACTGCCTTAGTAAAAAAAGAAGAAAAAAAACTTAGTGTCTCATCAACTTCACTGAGTTTCTTACCCTGTGCTATATACTACAGACACACTAGTAAGGAAGCAGTTGTTTTACATGGAAGTCACGTCACTTGAAGCAAACAAGTTTAAATTATTAACAGAAACTAACTTTATATATTCTTTAAGCAAGTGCTGGTAAGTAGTAAGGCTCTGTAATGAGTTTTGAATTTTTCCCAGCTTCTTCTATTTAGAAGGAGATAACTGGAAAAAGAGGCCAAAGGGCAGAAAATGAGAAGAAAAGTAAAATCAAAGTTATCTGATAATCTAGCAAATGAGATAATTTAAGAGTGTGGAACTTCTAATACAAGATATTTTATGAATTTCAAAAAAAGCTAAAAAAAAATGATGGGAAGTCGACTTGTTAACATGGTACAGGAGGCTGACATGGCAAAAATCACTTCTAAGGAAGGTATTTATTACAAAAAAAGGACAGTTATACTCAACAACCAACATTAAAGTCAGAACTGAGATTTCAGTATTATCTTTCAATCTCATAATCCAGCTGTAAGCTGGCTGAGCACTGGAAGCCTTTTGTTTTTTGACACTGCCAACATCCACTTCCTAGTAGAGGGCCATCGCATGATCAAAAGGTCAGAAATTATCATGGGACTAGCAGCATTATCTGACACATATTTTCTTCTATCTGAATTTAAAAGGCAAGCTGGAAAAAAAGATTATTCTTTCTACTTGTTAGTCCTGGTATATAAGCCTAGGCTTTTCCACACAGGAACAAAGATAGAAGAGCACCAGCCTATTGACACCTGGATTGAACATCAACTCTAATGGCCTCACTGCCAATTCTTCCCACAGGACAGCTACTCCTCAAGCACCCTGGCTTGGAAAACATCAAGAGACTAAACCCCAGTTTAATAAAGCATCATTTCCATTTAAAAATCTGATTCCTATTCTGTCTCTTCCTACTTGTGTGAAGCTTGGCAAATTCTTTAAGGTGCAACTGTCTTCTTGTCTACAAACAGTAATAACAAACGTGCTAACTCTGAACTAGGTTGCTAAGAGTAATAAACTAGAAAACTTATGTAAAAGTATTATTTTAGAGCTTGGCATTGTCTAGTTTTGTGACCTTGGACAAGTCACATAAGCTCTCGTTATGACATTTCCCTAATGGTTTCACAAGGAGTTGTAAGGATTAAAGGTAATTTATGCAAAAGTGCTTTTTATTAACTATATAAAACTACTATAAAATATGAGGCATTTAAAATTTCCACTTCATTTGGCATCTCCAAAAAGATGCCATTTACTGAAAATATGCCTTCACTAGTGATTTCTAATTCACACCATAAGTCATGAAAGAAATGGAAAAGTCAGGTAGAATCAAAACTGGAGAGTAATATCCTTTATAGTGAAAAAAAAAAGGAAAATGAAAGAGAGTATACACTTCAGAGTGTATACTGCATTTAACTGTCCCATCTCTTTAGGGTCCTTCAGTCAAAAATGTTTCTTTAATCTTTCTTTGACTTTCATGATCTTGATACTTTTGAAGACTCAGCTCATTACTTCGTGGAATATCCTTCAATTTGGATATGTCTGTGCTTGACAGGAATATCACCAACGTGATGCTGTGTTCGAGTGACACTCAGTTTTGATTTGTCCTATTACTTACGATGTTCCGTTTCATCACTTGATTAAAATCGTGTCTTCCAGGCTTCTTTCTCTACAATGAAGTAACTCCAAAATGAAGTTACTATTTTTTTTCATTTGGAATTAACAAGTATTAATTTTGTGAAAAGATACTTTATATCTGAATAAATATCCTATTCCTTAAAAAATGCAAACAAACAAAAACTGGAGAAAGACTGTCTACCAGTTTGTTACCCTTTCTCTCACAAGAAAATTCTCTACAGCTGTAAAAGGAGCTTAGTAGCACTTGTATTATGGGAAGATCAGAAATTTGTTTAAGAGTGTGATTAGCACACTCTTCTATAAAAATGGCAGTCAAAAATATTTAGTCCAATAATCCATTAAATACTTAAAATGTACTACAAATAGTAATACAAACATAAATAACCCCTGGATCCTGGTATTTAAGAAACTCATTTTTATAAAGGAGACAGACTTAAGAACAAACAGCACATAAAAAGTGGTAAGTGCCATCCATGGAATCCCAGGTGGGTCAGTGGGTAAAGAATCCACCTGCCAATGCAGGAGACACAGGAGACTCGGGTTGGTTCCCTGGGCGGGGAAGATTCCCTGGAGAAGGGAATGGCAACTCACTCCAGGATTCCTGCCTGAGAAATCCCATGGACAGAGGAGCCTGGCAGGCTACAGTCCATGAGGTTACAAAGAGTTGGACACGAAAAAGAGTCGAAAAGTAATGACGGAGTGACTGAGCATGCACATGCATGTGACACAGGGTACCGAGGAATAGATATTTAACCACAGACTAAGGTGAAACATATATGGAACCATTAAAGGTATGGGACCATTAAATAGCTTGGTCTATTCAGTGCTGAATTTTAAGATCTTAGGAGATGGCAACCCGCTCTAGTAATTTTACCTGGAAAATGCCATAGACAGAGGGGCCTGGCATGCTACAGTGCATGGGGCTGCAAAGAGTCGGACACAAGTGGGCACATAAAGCACTACAAGGGGGCCATGTGAAATGAGGGCAGAGGAAAAGGTAGTTTCTCATAGAGGGCTGACTCTGCTGCTGGTGAAGGGTTTTAAGCAAGAGAGGCCAGAAAGAGGAGTGGGTCAAAGTATGGAAGCAGAGATTACTGTGATTACTTATGACTCCTTTTTCCTATTCTAACTACCTAACACTTAAAATCCAAGCAAGAGATGGAATTACAATATTATGAACTATGGCAAGACAACTAAGTCATTATCTTACTACTATTTTTAATCATTATGTATTAATGGTAAGAAATTCATTTTGTGACACTAATTTTAGCTCTAAAGCACAACTGCTTTAATATAAAGTAAAACCTTCACCTCTTCACAACTGTGATCACAACAAAGAGTTTATGAAGTAACTCATGTTGCTCTAATAGGCATCATAAATCACACACAATACTGGTTATCAAAGATTTCACTTTAAATCTTGAATATTTTATGACCTTTCTCAAAAACAGAGCAAAAGATATCCAAAGACCATCATAATCAGTTTAACTCAATAGATTTAAGTTTCATTCATTAAATATCTCGTTATTTTGAAACTCATCACAGGGATCAAAAGGTTTACCACTGGAGTCTGACTTTCCTTACCTGATTCCACAGTCTCCTCCCCTTCTGGCAGAAGCCTAGCTTTCTTAGCATTCTGTGGGGCATCATCACCATTGTCCTCATATATGTTAGACCATTTTATTGCCATATCCAGCTCTGGAGGGGGAGGTTTCTTCTCTGTAGAGTAGGTCTCCGGAGGTGGTACATAGTTTGACTTCCATATTTTGAATTCCTTTGGAGGCTGTTAAGCAAACACATTAAGAAGCACTGTGACGAACCAAGGTTTCTATAATCGATGTGGGCACATGCACCTCCCTGCCGTTCGCTTACTGTTCAGGCTGACTTTTTTTTTTTAAGGTTTAAAGACACATTTTTCAATCAAAATCACAATACTGTTAAGAGAAAAGCCAAAGGGTTCCCTGTACGAATAAAGCTAATAACTTTTAGTTACCAAAGAAGAATCCAGTCTCAGATACTACGCCAAGGCTGACCCCTTCAGGAGGCTGCAGCAGACACTGTCTTGGAGGCAGCACCGCAGGCACTTCGGCGTCAAAGGGAAGGGGTCTCGGGGAGAAGCTGCAGCAGGGGGCGGGGGAGTCACCACCGTTAGTCCTCGCCGCGCGGGGTCAGGGCACCGAGTGTGGAGGTTCGGGTCTCCTCACAAGGGGGCGGGGGCTGCGGGTCCAGTATGACACCCACCAGGCTGGGGGAAAGGGGCCCGGGCTCCCCAGGGCTGGAGGTGGGAGAGGGTGGTGCGGCATCCCGCAGGGCGTGACTGCGTGTGAGGGGCGGACAGCTGGTCCCCAAGATGGGGCTCAGGAGGAAGGGGGCGGAGGCTGGGACCAAGATCGAGAAACGGGGTGGGGGACCTCACCTCCTCTGGAGCTTTGACGACGTGCCTCTCCCAGTCTATCTGTTTGTTGAGCGGATTGTAAAGAAAGGCCGGGCGAGTCACGCTCCGGAACAGCTCGTCTGGTCCAGGCAGCCGCTTCTCCGCCTTGTTCCCATAGCCGCCGGCCGACTTCGCTGGATCTTGGGCCTTACGACTTGTCTCCTCCGGCTCGCTGTTATCCTCCTCGTCCGAGGAGCCTGAGCTGCTGCTCCCGTAAGCCGCGAAATAGCTCAGAGGATCCTTCTCCTCCGCTGCCATGACTGCTGCACCGGTGCGCCCAGGACTCCGCCGGAAACCGGAAGTCACTCCAGGGCCCGCCCCGCAGTTGACCCCGCCCCAAGTCTCGCTGATGGGCCCGAGGCCTGCGCCCCCTGGCGGTTGCGTCGCGCTTTTGCGCCCAGGTTGGGGGACTGAGGCGGAAGGTTGGCCGCGCACGTTCCTAAACCCTGAACTCTAATGCTCATTACTGAGAGGCCTTGAAAAGAGACAGATCCTGAAACGGTAGTCGCAACCAAACTTTCAGATATAGTAAGAGTTTGTTAAAGGCAGAGAAGAGCTGAAAAAATTTCTTTTCACTGCTACTTAAAGCCCTTGCCCAGTGAGACCGGGATTTTTTGCCTGTTTGCGCAGCATCTCTTCAAAATAAAATGACTCGTCCCTTCTGTCGTCATGGAAGACCTCTGTGGGTAAGTGGTCAAGCAGAATTCTCTCCTGCTTCACCTCATTCCAGCGCACTCTGAACAACCTTCTTTGTTGGAACTTCGCTTGTATTGCATTACACCACTCTGAGGGATCCTCCAAACTCTGTGGCTTCTTATTGTCAGCCTCCTTCGGTGATGGCTTTGCTCCGTATGGCCCCTAAGTGTTGATGGTGTTATAGCCACACTCTCCGGGAAACAAACTCACTCAGAAGGACAGTGCAGATAGTGGAGTGCAGTTTATTACACTGGCGGGCCCAAGGCAGAGTCTCCTCTTAGCCAAGGACCCCGACCAGCATTTGTGAAAATCTTTTATACCCCATGTGTACGTGTCCAAACCCACCACCCCAATTTTCTTGAGACTTACATAAACAAAGGAAGGGTAAATACAACTACAATAACCCCATCATTCACGTGTTATGTGTTCAAACAGTTAATAATCAATAAGCCTGCAGTTACATTCCAAACAGTTAACAATTAATAAGCCTGTGGTCACGTTCCAACCAGTTAATAAGCGATAAGCCTGTGATTACATCCTGATAGATACGGAAAAAATTTTATGACCTGTCCAGAGACAGGGGTGATTACGGTATGTTTCCTCTTAGGCAATGAGTAACCTGGATGTGATCTTCAAGATTCCCCTGCCCAGAGGGGGTCTTATCCTTCCATTGTCGTTCCCATAGGCGCTAAGCACAGAGTTCAGAGTCCACTGGAGAGGTGGCCGCGCACGACCAGCACCGACGGCCTGAGATGGAGTCCAGGCCTTATTAATTCCTTCTTCAGTGGCTCCCAACATACTATACCCTCGTTCAGCAACACTTCCTAACCAGGTGTTACAGAGTTGCAAGTCAGACCAACCCTTCCCAGAGTGTTAACCTCCTTAATGCTTGTGACTTCAACAGCCAGTTCTCCAAATCCAGTCTCTGCAAGGCAAGCTCTGAACTACACCTCTGCTTGGCTCTTAAACTTTCCCTATGGCCAGGTCTCAAACACCCACTTAAAGATCAGTAAATTGTTTTTCCATATTACTTACTTCTACATTTGTGTCCCTCCCTTTTAGTAAATAACATAACCACCTGCTTAGCCACCAGGGAAACTCGAAATCTTTGACTTTTGGGGAACTCAAAAGAATGATACACACATGAAGGCAATAAAGTTGCTATCAGTGTAAAGTTGGTATCAGTGGTAAGCATTCACAGACCGCACCTAAGGATGCCTATATCAGACATGATTTAGCAACTAAACAACAATGGTTTATTGTAGGCAAAGAATGCAGATTAAAATTAACCAAGGGAAGAGATGTAGGGGGCAGAATGCTGGAGCCTTCCACACGCAGAGCTTCTCGTTGTCTTCTCCCAGGGGAGGTGTAGACGTGCTCACTTCTGCAGCAGTGTGTGACAGCCTGCATGGGGCCATCAGGGGAGCCTCACCACAGCCTTAGTCTCCAGAGGATTTATTGGGGATTGGTCATCCGGACATAGCCTCCAGCCCCTCCAGAAAAGTGAAAAGTGAAAGTCGCTCAGTCGTGTCTGACTCTTTGTGACCCCAAGGACTGTATAGTCCATGAATTCTCTAGGCCAGAATACTGGAGTGGGTTGCCTTTCCCTTCTCCAGGGGATCTTCCCAACCCAGGGATTGAACCCAGGTCTCCTGCATTGCAGGCAGATTCTTTACTAGCTGAGCCACAAGGGAAGCCCAAGAATACTTGAGTGGGTTGCCATGCCCTTCTTCAGGGCATCTTCCCAACCCAGGGATCGAACCCAAATCTCCCACATTGCAGGTGGATTCTTTACCAGCTAAACCACCAGGGAAACCCAAGGATACTGGAGTGGGTAGCCTATCCCTTCTCCAGGGGATCTTCCTGTGGGGTAAGGGAGTTAGCGACGGTGACGTTCAGAAAAAGAACGAGACTGGCACTTTACAGGGACAGATCACCTTTAATGAGGGGAGAAGGGGCAGCAGTCAGATTAGTGAGCTGCAGCACTAACCCAAGAAAAGAGTAAGTATATAGAGGCATATATGTGGAAATCTACTGTCTTAAGGGGGGCCTGTTCTTCTCCAAGGTTGTTCGGAGTAGTTATCTCTTAAATGGCTGGGGCAGGGGATTCTGGAGATTAGCCAGCGGCTGGACTGGCTAGGAGCTGGGTGTAATCAACCTTAAGGTCCATTTTTTTTCTTCGGGTGAGAGAGTTCTTTATTTTGCATAGGATGGTGGGGAAGGCCCGGAGGGGAGTTTTAACTCCAGGCTATTTTGAGCCCTGTAACTTTCCTTCACTTCCCAACCCAGGAATCGAACTGGGGTTCCCTGCATTGCAGGCGGATTCTTTACCAGCTAAGCTACCTGGGAAGCCTATACTAGTCTCTAATACACCTTTTATTGGTTCCAAATAGGAAAAGGAGTATGTCAAGGCTATATATTGTCACCCTGCTTATTTAACTTATATGCAGAGTACATCATGAGAAACGCTGGGCTGGAAGAAGCACAAGCTAGAATCAAGACTGCCAAGAGAAATATCAATAACCTCAGATATCCAGATGGCACCACCCTTATGGCAGAAAGTGAACATGAACTAAAAAGCCTCTTGATGAAAGTGAAAGAGGAGAGTGGAAAAGTTGGCTTAAAGCTCAATGTTCAGAAAACTAAGATCATAGCATCTGGTCCCATCACTTCATGGCAAACAGATAGGGAAACAGTGGAAACAGTGGCTGACTTTATTTTGAGGGGCTCCGAAATCACTGCCGATGGTGATTGCAGACATGAAATTAAAAGACACTCCTTGGAAGTAAAGTTATGACCAATCTAGATAGCATATTAAAAAGCAGAGACATTACTTTGCCAACAAAGGTCTGTCTGGTCAAGGCTATGGTTTTTCCAGTGGTCATGTATGGATGTGAGTTAGACTGTGAGGAAAGCTGAGCGCTGAAAAATGGATGCTCTTGAACTGTGGTGTTGGAGAAGACTCTTGAGAGTCCCTTGGACTGCAAGGAGATCCACCCAGTCCACCTTAAAGGAGATCAGCCCTGGGTGTTCATTGAAAGGACTGATGTTGAAGCTGAAACTCCAATACTTTGGCCACCTCATGCGAAGAGGTGACTGATTGGAAAAGACCCTGATGCTGGGAGGGATTGGGGGCAGGAGGAGAAGGGGACAAGAGAGGATGAGATGGCTGGATGGCATCACCGTCTCAATGGACATGAGTTTGGGTAAACTCTGGGAGTTGGTGATGGACAGGGAGGCCTGGCGGGCTGCGATTCATGGGGTCGCAAAGAGTCGGACACGACTGAGCAACTGAACTGAAAAAGAAAGAAGAAAATTCAAACTTCTCACAATGGTTTATAAATCCTCCCATATCTGATCCTCACTATCTGTGAAATCTTACTTTTCAATCCAGGCTCCTGAATTCCCTAGTCATCCCTCTTATGTTCCTGCCTGTATTGTCCTCACTAGCTTATTCTTGCCTCAGGACCTCTGCACTCGATGTTCAGTCCAGTTCAGTTGCTCAGTCATATCTGACTCTTGGCGACCCCATGAACTGCAGCACACCACGCCTCCCTGTCCATCACCAATTCCCAGAGTTTACCTAAACTCATGTCCATTGAGTCGGTGATGCCATCCAACCATCTCATCCTCTGTCATCCCCTTCTGCTCCTGCCCTCAATCTTTCCCAGCATCAGGGTCTTTTCAAATGAGTCAGCTCTTCGAATCAGGTGGCCAAAGTATTGGAGTTTCAACTTCAGCATCAATCCTTCCAATGAACACCCAGGACTGATCTCCTTTAGGGTGGACTGGGTGGATCTCCTTGCAGTCCAAGGGACTCTCAAGAGTCTTCTCCAACACCACAGTTCAAAAGCATCAATTCTTCGGCACTAAGCTTTCTTTTTAGTCCAACTCTCACATCCATACCTGACTACTGGAAAAGCCATAGACTTGACGTTTGTTGACAAAGTAATGTCTCTGGTTTTTAATATGCTGTCTAGGTTGGTCATAACTTTTCTTCCAAGGAGTAAGCGTCTTTTAATTTCATGGCTGCAATCACCATCTGCAGTGATTTTGGAGCCCAGAAAAATAAAGTCAGCCACTGTTTCCTCATCTATTTGCCATGAAGTGATGGGACCAGATGCCATGATCTTAGTTTTCTGAATATTGAGCTTTAAGTCAACTTTTTCACTCTCCTCTTTCACTTTCATCAAGAGGTTCTTTAGTTCTTCTTCACTTTCTGCCATAAGGGTGGTGTCACCTGCACATCTGAAGTTATTGCTATTTCTCCTGGCAATCTTGATTCCAGCTTGTGCTTCTTTCAGCCCAGCGTTTCTCATGATGTACTCTGCATACAAGTTAAATAAGTAGGGTGACAATATACAGCCTTGATGTATTCCTTTTCCAATTTGGAACCAGTCTGATGTTCCATGTCCAGTTCTAACTGTTGCTTCCTGACCTGCATACAGGTTTCTCAAGAGGCAGGTCAGGTGGTCTGGTATTCCCATCTCTTTCAGAATTTTCCACAGTTTATTGTGGTCCACAGTTTGCCTAAACTTGTCCCTAGAACTTCATACAGCTGTCCCCTTCCTTCTCGTGATTTAGGCTCAGCTCAAATGTTGCCTGCTTTGAGAGGAGTTCCCTCATGCTGTTATACTCTCGTCCAAGTTACTTTTTAGCTCATACATGCCCCATTTTGTATCTGTGGCAGCTAGAATTATCTGGGTTTCCTTGTTTATTTTCTATGTCCTCCAACTAGAATACGAGTTCTCTATGAGAACACAGACTTGGTCTGTTTTGTTTATTGCTGTTATGTGCAGCACCTAGAATAATAGGTACCAATAAATTCTGAATTAATGAGTGAAAAAATAGTGTCCACTCTTACCTGCCATCTGAGAAATGTTAACAAGAGAACTACAGCAAAAACTAACAAACAAAATTATGCAAAGCTATTCCAATGAAAACATAGCAAATAAAAATAGAAAAAAAAATTTTTTTTTAAAGAGCATGGAGTTATAGAAAGAACACTGACGTTAAAGTCAAAACAGGCCTAGATTTCAATTCTAGAGATTGTTTCTCTGTTCAAAACAAAGTAACAATAAAACCTTCCTTGCAGTGTTGGTATTAGCAGTAACACACATGTGGAAACACCAAACCCCAGTATTTGGCTCCCAGTAAGACTGTGGTTTCCAAACATTGTTGCACATTGGAAAATTTTGACACACTTCTGATGACTGTCTTTCACAATCCAAACATTTTGACATTCCCATTTAATTGGTAATGGGGTGTAGCTGGGCACTGGGATCTTTAAAAGCTCTTTAGGTGATTCTAAAATGGGCAGCAAAGTTTGAAAACAGGACAACTGTCTGATAATTAAGTAGAATGTCAACTTCGGAGTAAGGACTTCAGGAGCAGTGCTAAAATTACTCACAAATTGTGCTTATATTTAACTCTCCTTTAGAAAAGCCTCCTAAGAGTACATTTAACAATTAAAGATCGATTTGCTCCTTGGTTAGCTATTTTTTTCCCCAAGTCAATAATCATTGTATAAACTGTTGATCGTACTACTACATGATTCATCAAACAATATTTTATGCAATTGTTTTTTTTTTATATGCAATTGTTAAGTACATATATTTTAAAACATTTTTAATATTTAAAGGAAAGCTATGACAAACCTAGAGAATGTATTAAAAAGTAGAGACATCACTTACAAAGGTCCATATAGTCAAAGCTGGGGTTTTTCCAGTAGTCATGTACAGATGTGAGACTTGGACCATAAAGAAAGCTAAGCACCAAAGAAATGATGTTTTCAAATTGTGGTGCTGGAGAAGACTCTTTTTAAGAGTCCCTTGGACAGCAGGGAGATCAAACCAGTCAAAGCTGAAGGAAATCAACCCTGAATATTCACTGGAAGGACTAATGCTAAAGCTGAAGCTCCAGTACTTTGGCCACCTGATGTGAAGAGCCAATTCACTGGAAAAATTCCTGATGCTGGAAAAGATTGAAGGCAAAAGGAGAAGGGGGCAGCAGAGGATGAGATGGTCAGATATCATCACTGACTCAGTGGGCATTAATGTGAGGAAACTCTAAGAGGTAGTGAAGGACAGAGGAGCCTGGTGTGGGTCTCAGTCAGACATGACTTAGGGACTGAACATAACAATATAGCAAACAGGGGACAGGGGCGGGTGTATGGGAACTCTACTTTCTGCTCAAGTTTTGCATAAACCTAGGACTGCTCTAGAAAATAAATTCTCAAATTTTAAAACAATTTTAAAAAGTGAACTCAAAGGTGTTTTTTATATTAAGTGATAATGTATCTGTGAATTTTTTCACTGCTGCATTAATCAACCCAATAACCAGTTGCACTCATGTTAGACTATCATTCAAATTTACACATTTTTGGCAACGGCTGGTTTTCAGTGTTTAAAGGAAAAAAACTGACTTCATAGGATTCAGAAAACCCAAAAGCCTAACCTTGAAAACCCTTGAAAAACCTTAATTTTATTGCCTACATAGTCAACAGTCTGAAATAAAAGTATTAATATAAATATAGGTGCTACAGCATATCTAAATTAAGATCTTTGATTCCAAGTAAATCTTAAACTTAAAAAAAAGTATCTGCGTATCAAATTTTATTTTAATAAATGAAAAGCCTGCTTCTGCTTTTTAAAAAGATTTCTTCAAACATAATGTCACTATTTTTTTTTTCAACTGCCAATATCTTATTATGCTATCCTGGAGGTGAAACATGCTTCTCCAAAATCCTTGGAAAATGTTTATACTATAAAAATCACCCAGTCTTTAAAAAAATTTAAAAGCCAGTATGCCAGTCTTCGTGATTCATAATTTCATCAGTCCATCCAGAAATGAAATTCATCTCACAACTTGAAGTAATATTTCCTATAAAAATTGGTACATATAAAAATAGTTCTAGGTATTTCCTACTGAAAAAATTGAAACTTCCAAAACACAGCACTACAACTTAAAAATGTTTATTTTCAATAGCATATTTCCATCTCTGCTTTTTGCAAGTAATGGAAATATATAGGAGACAGGTATCTGAAAATGGATAATTATAATTTAATGAAAACAATGAAAGCAGAAGATTTATAAATTTGTAAAATAAGTCATACTTTGTCATAGAACAATGATCTGCTTGTTCCAAATAGTATTAAAAATAGAATGTAATATACACACACAAAAACCATCTTGTCCTAATTATTTCAATTGTACAGTGGTCCTCATTAAAAGGGAACAAAAAATACAGAAAAAAGTGTTTTTAAAAATCTCAGATTTTTCTTTAGGAATAAAAATGATAAAGCAAAGAAGGTCACAATTTTAAGGAAGTAGTATTTATTAGTAAAATTAGTAAGACATGTATTTTGGCAAACTGATACCTTAGCTGGCTCAAACTCCATTAGATATCCATCTGAATCAAAAGGGGACTTTGTAAGTGTCTGGAAGCCAAGTGGGGAAAAGACTTTTTTTCTGTCTACTGGCAGTTTTCCCAGTAGTGATAGGTTTTATTATCGAATGGGAACAGCTTAATTCTGAAAATTTACTGGTGAATTGTTGGAAAGGACTATTAGACTGTGAAACTTATTAGCACAAACTCACAAGGAAGAAACATTATTCACAGTCTAACATTGTATTCTCAAATAGAGAAATGTTGCCTATTAAAGTTAGTCTTAACACATGATGAGAGTGAAAACACTAAATCTCAAACTTTTGAAATTTGAAAATACTGAAAAGTACATGATCAACACTGAATATGATCAACACTTACTTTAACTCTCTAAAAATACGCTTTTATTCTAGAAAATTCTATTTACAAAGTATGTTTATGTTGCATTTTATAAAACATGTATCAATATTACTAAGTCATGGTAGCAATTTTATGATTCATATCCTTTCCAATATTTTTTGTCATCATTAAAAAAAATTAAAAGGCAGTAAACTGTCATTGCCGCAAAACAGCGCGTGATCGTAAGGGAAGAAACATCTCACTAGAGTTTCCTTCTTCTTCCAACTGCAGCTCTGGAGGCAAAGGAGGAGCGCCAGGGTCCCCAGGTCTTGGAAGTGTAGTTGAAGAGAAGGTGGGATTTTCAGTTCTGCCTACTTCTAGAACAGGCAAATTCAGAGAAGAATCGGTAGAAAAAAAGGGGGCTGTGCTGGATTCTCCTTCTGGGTGATACATGATGGTGGATGCTCTCAGTTTCTCAGAGAAATTACTCTCATCCGAATTTGATCTAGAGAGGTTATTTGTGGCTCCATCAGGAAAAGGCTCACAGCTGCTACATTTCAGTCCTACAATACAATTATTCAGATATAAATAAGAAGTAACTAGGAAATGTGAATCCACACCCATCTTGGAACTTTTTAAAGATTATACAAATTTAAACAGCAGTTTATAAACTGTCATAATCCATTTCACATTTTATCTGCTCCTGACAATCATGAAGTATACTGCTATTTACTTTTTTGAGACAAGTGAATAATCTCAAGGAAGATAAATGACATGCTAAAATTCACATTTAATTTCTGTACTTATACTTAACCATTGAAGGACCTGAAAAAGTAGCTCCTAAAATTATTCATAGAATAAGAAATAGCTTTTACAACTAAAAAATATTTTTAAGCATTCTAGTATACACACACACACAAAACATTACCCAATGAAAACAAAATTAAAACTGGATACATCCTAAAATTCTATGTTAAGTACTTTCAATTTCTGAATCATGGAGAATTAGAAGTGGAAGGGATTCTGGAGGGCATCTGGGATAGCCTCTCACTGTGAGAGACACTATGAGAAGACTGAGGCCCAGAACACTGAAGTCATGCCCAACATTACAGGATTACTTCATGCTAAGGTGACACCTGGAACCCAAGTCTCCTCTTCACACTACACAAAAAATGTTCTGATTCTTAACCTACCATTTTACTTAAATAGCAGTGGTTGTTCTGAACAAAAAATTCTGTCATATCCAAAGGATATAGTCAACAATGAGCCTCATGGTGGAAATAAATACAAATGCATTTATCTTTCTGTTAGGCTTAGCAAATATTCAACCCAACTGTGTACAGGCACAGAGAAGTTCCTGAGCTGACAGATTTTGTATAACACCTGCGAAGTCTGTAAAGCACATCTGTATGTCATTTTTTTTCCACTAGTTTTTCAACTTCACAATACAGTCAGCATTTCTGTCCCATGGACAAGAAACTATTTTCTTAAATATGTTTCAAGGGGAAACTTCACATGTGTTCCAGCCTTAGACTTATAGACTGAGTTCTGTAAGGTAAAGTCCTAAATTACTCATTTCTGTTTCCCGAGTGCTTAAAAGAGCTGGAATAGAGCTGTTATCACATTCACATTTATCTTAAGTGCTATGTAGAGACAGACAGGGAAAAAAATGGGGGGCTGGGGGGAGAGGGGAATTTAAATTGTGCAGACAATTCTATATAGCATTCCAATCAGTGAGTGTGTGCTCCATGGTGAGGGTGAAACAGAAGGGGTAAATTTGCTCCTCCCTTAATCAATACATTTCATGCCTCTCTCATCTCACCAGACTGAGTGTGATTCTAGTGTTTAAAGTCACGTATGATTTATACATGATTCTTATAAACATAGGCCAACTATTTTATTGTGTGATCAACTGGTAGAAGAAAAACCACCAGAATTTATCAAAGCTAAAGTACTTTACCTATATACTGTTATTTGTGATCTGCATTTTCAGGGGATACTTTTTAACAGATCAATCTTGCATTCTACTAACTTTAGAAACAAACTCCTGTGTTTCTATGAAATACTGCAATTTCATTATGGTTGTTTTCTATAAATATAGTGTTGCTGCTGCTAAGTCTCTTGAGTTGTGTCCAACTCTGTGCGACCCCATAGACGGGAGCCCATCAGGCTCCCCCATCCCTGGGATTCTCCGGGCAAGAACACTGGAGTGGGTTGCCATTGCATTCTCCGAAATGTAGTGTCGCTGCTGCTGCTAAGTCATTTCACTCGTGTCTGACTCTGTGCGACCCCATAGACGGCAGCCCACCAGGCTCCCGTCCCTGGAATTCTCCAGGCAAGAATACTGGAGTGGGTTGCCATTTCCTTCTGCAATGCATGAAAGTGAAAAGTGAAAGTGAAGTCGCTCAATTGTGTCTGACTCTTAGCGACCCCATGGAGTATAGCCTACCAGGCTCCTCCGTCCATGGGATTTCCTACGCAAGAGTACTGGAGTGGGATGCCATTGCCTTCTCCGGAAATGTAGTGTTAATGAACAGAAATACAGAACACTGAGTGATACTTCACTTTTGCAATGTAATGAAATCCAATAAGGCAAAAAAATGCAAATCAAATGTAATGCTGAAGCTTGAACTTTTTAAATAAAAGCAAAAATGGTCATTTCTGGGCTTTCTGTTCTGCATTCTATTTTACAAAAGCACTGTTACATTTAAATAACTCTTGGATACCTAAGGTATCTTACCTTTGAGATGCTCTAGTTTTATATTCCTAAGTTTCAGCACTTCATCTGTAATCTTCTGTATTAGGAAGTTCTGTGTTTTTTCTCGTCGAATAGATTCGACTAGGGTATCCAGTCCTTTGGGGTTTTCTTGTAAGTAGTCTAACAGTTTTCCAGCCCTTTTTCTACTTGACGTTCGGCAAGAAATTTCTTCAGTGTCTTCTCTACTGAGTATTTTTTTTGCTCGTAGATGATCAAAATGTCTCTCAGCTATGATTTTTTCACACAGGTATACACGCAAATTTTCTAAAGCCTGAAAGAAAGAAAATATGGCTTAATGTAACACAGGTGACTGATGGTAAGTTAGGAATCTGACTGGTAAGAGAAAACATCCTGAAATCAGGAAGCTCAGCCCTACTTAAGGCATGCTATTAAGATGAGTGAGCAGGGTTTCCCTGGTGGCTCAGTGGTAAAGAATCTGCCTGCTAATGCAGAAGACACAGGTTCGATCCCTGGTCTAGGAAGATTCCACATGCTGTGGAGCAACTAAGTCCGTGCATCACAACCCTTGAGCCTGAGCTCCAGAGCCTGGGAGTCACAACTACTGAGCCCATGTGCTGCAACTACTGAAGTCCGCGTGCTCCAGAGCCTGTGCTCCCCAACAAGAGAAGCCACCACAATGAGAAGTCTGTGCACCACAACTAGAGAGTAGCCCCCACTTGGGGCAACATGAGAAAAGCCTGTGCAATAATGAAGACCCAGCACAAAAATAAATAAATAAAAAATTATATACATTTAAAAAAAAGATGAAGGAGCAAGGAGATAGAAGTAGGTCTCCGACTAGATATTCCTCACTGCTTCCATCCTGCTCTGATCTTTTTCACAACTATAAGCCAAGATCAAACTACTGTGAGGAGGGGGCCAGTCTCTTCTAGGGAGCTTGGGTCTGTGGAAATAAAGAGAGGTATGCTGAGGGCCTTCAGAGGTAAAGATGAGAGCAGTGGTTACTGGGCATTTTAGTTTCCATTTAGTAAGGAATCTATGATTGGTTAGGACCAGAGACGATAACTTAGGCAGAGGTCTCATGGTTTATAACTTTCTCGTTATTAATTTTGCATCTTTCTAGAGTAAAACCCCAAAAGAGAGACGGAGAAAGAAAAAGAAAGAGCCTAAACTAAAGGGGACCATGATGTGTCTGTCTTTGCAGTCAGCTGGCAAGATGATAATCTAACTCAGTCTTGGGAGGTAGAAAGGTATGGGGGGAAAGAAACATAAAGGAACAGTGGATGTTGAAAAAAAAAAAAACTAAAGAAACAAAGAAAAAGAAATCATATAAACAGGCCTACACCTGACAAGGGCTTCCCAGGTGGTGCTTGTAGTAAAGAACCCGCCTGCCAATGTAGACCTAAGAGACAGGGGTTTGATCCCTGGGTTTGGGAAGATCTCCTGGAGGAGGGCATGGCAACTCACTCCAGTCTTCTTGCCTGGAGAATCCCATGGACAGAGGAGCCTTGGAGGGCTACAGTCCATAGGGTCTCAAAGAGTCAGAGAAGACTAAAGCAACTTAGCACACACACACACCTGACAAGTTCCTAGTGAGGCTTAATTAGCCAAAAATCGATGTGGGTCTCCATAAATGGCATTAATAATTTGATGTGAGCAGCTGTATTACATAGCTCCTTTATTTACTAGATATGTGATCTGGGGTAAATTCACTCCTTTGGGCCTCAGTTTCCTCATCTGAGTGTAATGAGATATGTAAAACTTAACATATGTAAAGTACTTGGAAAAGTGCTTGGTACATATAAGTGATAAGGAAATGTTAGTGATGATGCCAATGATGACTAATTTGATTCACACTGACAAAGATGAACTAAAGGCAATGAAAAATCTTCAAAATACTCCAGTATATGGTGGCAGAAAAGTAGCTTAGGTGAAGGGGTTCCTAGAGTTCTCAGTCCACTAAATTCCCTCATTTATTTATTCACACAAGACACATTTCGCATATCTAAATGCCTAATATGCCAAGTGCGAACAGTGGATATTGCAAAGATGAACAAGACTTAAATTCTGCATGCAAAGGGCATATAGTCCAGTTGAAGAATACATTATTAACTGAAGTTAGTAATTGTGAGATAATGGAATATGACCCAGAAAAAAAAAGATATAGGTCAAGTAGTGGGGAAGCATAGAAGAGGCAACTTACTCTGCCTCTAGGACCTGGGAAATTTACAGAGGCCACACCTGAGAGAGAGGCATGAAGGGCATGTAGTAGGGGAAATTACATTTCCCTGTAGCCAAAACCTCATCAAAGGCTTATAAATAAGAAGCCATAAGAAAAGTTTTACAGAGGGCTGGGGGAAGCAAAAATTGGGGTCAAAGGGGACTAGTTAGACGATTGTTGCCATATCTTACATATATTATGCTGAGTGCATGAATTTCAGCTGACAGGATGAGAAGAGAGAAAAATAGATTTAAAAGATGAACTTCTTGGAAAACCTCGTGTGTTTCATTTCTACCATATGTTGTTGATCCCTAAATTTTGCAATGTGATCGAGACTTTCTCCCTAGAGATCCCAATGGTACTTGAAATTCAACATGTCCAAAACCAAATTTATCTTCTATCCTTTTCCTCTGACATAGTAAACTCACTTGGGAGTACCACCATCTATTCAACAAGCTAAAAACCTTCAACCCACCCTTGACTTTTCCATTTCCACCCACCTGATACATTCGATCACCCACCCACCAAATCTTGCTGATATTTATCTTCCTCAGCACCTACATTCAAATCATCACCAAGTCCTATCACTACTATTTAAAAAAAGGTCTGGAATTCTCCTGTTCTATCCATCTCTACTACCTGTACCCTGATCCAAATCACCATCATCTCTCACCTCTATAAAGTCCAAGAATCTCCTCACTAGTTGCCCTCTTCTCACTTTTGCTCACCCCAGTCCATACATTAGGCAGAGGAAATTCTTCAATAGGTCTCAATTACACTTGGGAAGAAAATCCCACTTTACTAGCATCTATAAGACCCTTTATAATCTGGCCCTAGCCTACCATTCTAACTTTACTTCAAGGCACTCAACAGCTTGCCTGCATTAGATCCTTTGCAAATTCTGTCTAGAATGTCCTTCCCCAGTTCTGTCATATCCTTCAGGAATCCGTTTAAATATAACCTTCCCTGAACATCCTATCTCAAGTAATTTCTCCTCTTATCTTGTTATTGTCTCAACACCTGTTCATCTCCTTCACAGTACTTATCATAATTTGAAATTATACATTTGTTTTCAACCCTAAGAACTCACATGTTAAAAGCAGGCAAGAACCAGGTACATTTTGTTCAACTCTGTATATCCTACACTTAGCAGAATGCCAAGTAGATAATGTTTTGGATGAATGTAAAATTCATTGTTATTTTGTGATTCGCAATTATCATTTTACATGTCTCCTCCTGCCCCAAGAAGTTGAGCTGTTCTCAAACTAGAATTTTATCTTTGTTTTTAATTTTTAAACTGTTACAATCAATGGCAGTATCAGCCTCACAGTAGTGTGTAGTCTATATTTATGAAACTGAACTAAATTAAAAGATGAGAGAAACAACTAGATGAAGTACACAGGGGGAAGCGATATAGTAAAGCAGTAGTAGCCTGAAAAAAAAAAAAAAGAAATGGGAGTTGCCATGTGGATAAGCCCTCTATATCTGCAGATTCTGTACCCTCAGATTCAACCAAGAATAGATCAAAAATATTTGGGGAAAAAAAAAAATTTCCAGACGTTTCAAAAAGCAAAACTTGAATTTGCTGTGTGGGTCAACTGTTTACATAGCATTTACACTGTACTAGGTATTAAAAGTAATCTAGAGATGATTCAGAGTACATGGGCAGATGTGTGTACGTTACATGCAAATATTATACCATTTTATAAAAGGGACTTGAGTATCCATGAATTTGGTATCAGCAGTCAATTCCCCATAGATACAGAAGGATAACTGTACACTAATCACCAAGACAGAGAATACAGTAGAAACAGCAAGTGGCTTTGGGGGAGGGATGATAAAAATTCAATTTTAGACAAAGTGAGAAGTCTGAAGGATATAAAAGTGGATTTCCAGTAGACATTTGGAAATAAGCACTTAGAGATGAGAAAGAAGGAAGTCCAAATATGTGAATGATAATTTCAAAACTTCTAAGTTCACAAACCATTTTGAAAATATCATGAACAAAATTTCTAAGAAAAAAATGTGCACATAGTGTTTTTCATAGATGTCCTGAAACCTGTTCATGATTCCCTAAGGGTATGAATTTCAGATATAGCTGTAAATTGAAGTCATGGAGACGGAAAGTATCAATGAACAGATGGGAAAAAATAAAGGCCTGGAAGCCTCCCTTCACATCTGTACAGGTTTTATATTATGTACATGTTTTGTATCTTTTCACTTGAACCTCTCACTACCTGGCTTATCAACTACAAAATGGGAAAGACAATCATCTGCCTTAGAGGTTGTTGGGAACATTGTCAACTGTGTGACACAGCGTCTGGAACACAGCAGGCCTAGCTCTTGAAGTTCATGTTTTCACTCGCACAAATCTTGAATAACACAACACTCATTTGTTCTTTAGTAGTTATCAATATCCCAGTCTTAACTAGAATATAAAGCAGGGGTGACTTTTTGTTGTTGTTGTTATCTTCCCAGGCCTAAGAACAATACTTTCCATAAAATAAGTGCTCCACAACTATCTGTTGAAGGAGGAAACTAAGGCACACGTCCCAGTCATAACCAGTTTCCTTCTGCTAATTCATTATCAGAATTGCTCACAGTAATTCTGTTATTACTCACTGTAATTATGAGTACAGCATAATAAATCTTACAGGTGAGGGGAAAGCAAACAAACATTTAAAACGCTGTTCTGTCTAGTTCACAAAGATGATTCTGTGCAAGTAGTGCAGTGGTAAAGCCAGAACACAGTTCATGTTCATGTTGTTTTTAATTTGAATATAAAGTATTTTGATGGTTCTCAGAGAAGTCTCATGTGGCAAAACAAGTTACTAAAAGCAAAGGAAAAGAGAAACAAGTCAGACCTAAATAAAGTCATTCTCTATGAATAAACACTAAGATCTGTGCACTTCACCATCCAAGCAGAAGAGCATCATTTAGCTACTGACTGTCTCCAACGTTCACCTGTACATTAATTCTCCACTTCTCGTATTCTCCCCCCACCCCACCCCGCCCCTTCAATTTAAATACGTGGGTGTTTCCTTAGTAGGGGAATTCCAGGTAGTGCTTTCAGCTGTAGAGCTTCCCCCAACCCCTTTTGCAAAAGTTTCACGTATTTGCTCCGCTGCTTGGGATGCTTTATCTGGTCCAGCTTTTGCTCCAGGTCGAGCCAGCAGCCAAGGCAGTCTGACTCAAGGATGAACTTGAGTCGTCGATCCCTAGCAACGCAGCTCCAAGGCGCACCTGGGGTGAAATCACCAGGGGGTGAGTGAAGAGTGGGCAAGAACCTGACTGTTAAGAAACGCTCCACTGAACAAGGTTTCAGAAACCCAAGCCCTGCTTCTATTAAGTTAAAAAGCGGATTAACAGGTCAGCGGGGGGCAGGTCACTTCCACCAAGTTTCCTCGCATGCAGGGCTCGTCGCTGTCCTGCGGTTCTCGGACGTTCCGCTTCTCAACCCCGGACTCCTCCTCCAATTCCGACTCGGACTAGGACGCTGGGTTTCCGCTTCCCTCGGCCGCAGAACTGCAGCCCGCCCCCGCCCACCCCTAGCCCGCAACGGCGCCTGGACAAGGTTGTGCTACTCACGTCCTTCTTCACTTCAGTCAGGTCCTCCTCGGTGAGGGACGGCGCGGTGGGCTCCATGGCGGAGGCGGGAGATGGCGCTTCTTCCGGGTCCAGGAGCTCCGGCTGCGCCGCCCCGCCCAGGCTGCGGGCTTCGGCCTTCGAATGAAGGGAAAGAAGGGAGGCGGAGAGGGTCGGGAGGGAGAGGGCTGCCCCTTCGAGGGCCGATGGACCAGTAAGTCAAACTGTGGCGCTTCCGGCAGAGCCGAGGGCGCAGTAGACCTACTTGTCCACAAGCGGAGCTCAGAGCCCCGGCTCCTTCTCTCTCCGGGAGGCCCAGGAGCAGGCACCACCCCTCGGGGGGCCACCGGGAGAGCCCGCCCAGTCTCTACAGCAGCCAATCAGAGCCATCCTGCGGGACGCCCTGGTCCCCGCCCCCTGCCGGAGCCTTTCAGGAGCGGCTCCGCCCACAGCCTCCAGAGCGTCAGCGTGTGGCAGCCGGGTGGCCTCCCCGAAGGGAATCGTTTCCGTGGGTGGGGTGCGTAGCTGCTCTGCCTGCCTGCGGTCGCCGCCTGCGCAGACAGTTCACAGGTGGGGTCGGGTCTCTGCTTGTCTGTACTTTGGGGTTCCTCCCCTTTTCCCAGACCCTACCCAACGATTTTCTGTTGCTGCTTGCTCACTCGTTTTAAAAACTATTTGGTCAGACACTGACATGCGTGCGTACACATACACGAGACGCATGTACACAGCCTATCAACAGTATTCAATTTATGAAAGAGAAAAGCCGCCTACAGTCCCAACACTTTAACACTTAATTTAACGTCTGCACTCTTGTTGGTGACTTTATTATCAACTTGTTTCCTCATTTATTCATCCGTATAATGAAGATTTGTCTACTTCATACCTCTCAGAGGGCCTCTGTGAAAATTAAATGACGTGGTATCTGTAAGGTTCTTAAAGGTACGGGGCACACAGCACACACCCAATTTATCATTATCTTACACTACTAACACATTTATTGAGTCCTTACTAGTATGTTCTAGGTATCTTATTCTGTAACCATTCTGCCGTTATACTGGGGAGCCTGATGAACAAATCACTATTCTCAGAATGGTATTCCAGCTACTGACAGAGGTGTATACCCAGTAAAAATCTGGGTGGATGAAAAGCTCCAAACAGAGTCCTGTGCCCAAGACGGTGGTTTGGACAACATGCTAAGTAAACTAGAAATAAAGTAGATAGTACTTGAAGCTAGAGGGTAGGTAAAAAGGATGAGGACCAAAAACAAACTTTGAACTCCCAACAATTAAGGGAAGAGAAAGCAAAGGAATCAGAAAAGAACAACGTTGTCAAAGCCACACCAAGCTGTATTTGATCACAACACAGAGGTTCTATTTTTAACATTAACATTATGTAACATGTCTTTTTCCATATTGATACATAGTATTTTTTCTGATTGCTTAATCTTCCATCTGCTTGATATAATCCAATTTACTAAACCATTTGTTCTTTCACTTCTCATTTACTAAATGTCAACTATGTGCCAAAGACTGCTCTAGGTGCTGGGGAAACAGCTGTGAATGACATAGATAACAATTCCCAACTCCTGGAGTTTAAATTCTAGTGTGTGTGTGTGTGTGTGTGTGTGTGTGTGTGTGTGTGTTTGGGGCAAGGCAGACAGATATTTGAAAAACATTGTGTAAATTATTTATTATGTTCAGTCCAGTCCAGTTGCTCAGTCATGTCCTTTTTGTGACACCATGAATCACAGCATGCCAGGCCTCCCTGTCCATCACCAACTCCTGGAGTTTACTCAAACTCATGTCCATTGAGTTGGTGATGCCATCCAGCCATCTCATCCTCTGTCGTCCCCTTCTCCTCCTGCCCCCAATCCCTCCCAGCATCAGGGTCTTTTCCAATGAGTCAACTCTTCCCATGAGGTGGCCAAAGTATTGGAGTTTCGGCTTCAGCATCAGTCCTTCCAATGAACACCCAGGACTGATCTTTAGGATGGACTGGTTGGATTTCCTTGCAGTCCAAGGGACTTTCAAGAGTCTTCTCCAACACCACAGTTCAAAAGCATCAATTTTTCGGCACTCAGCTTTCTTCATAGTCCAACTCTCACATCCATACATGACCACTGGAAAAATCATAGCCTTGACTAGAAGGACCTTTGCTGGCAAAGTAATGTCTCTGCTTTTTAATATTCTATCTAGGTTGGTCATAACTTTCCTTCCAAGGAGTAAGCGTCTTTTAATTTCATGGCTGCAATCACCATCTGCAGTGGTTTTGGAGCCCCCAAAAATAAAGTCTGACACTGCTTCCACTGTTTCCCCATTTATTTGCCATGGTGATGGGGCCAGATGCCATGATCTTAGTTTTCTGAATGTTGAGCTTTAAGCCAACTCTTCCACTCTTCTCTTTCACTTTCATCAAGAGGCTTTTTAGTTTCCCTTCACTTTCTGCCATAAGGGTGGTGTCATCTGCATATCTGAGGTTATTGATATTTCTCCCGGCAATCTTGATTCCAGCTTGTGCTTCTTCCAGCCCAGCGTTTCTCATGATGTACTCTGCATATAAGTTAAATAAGCAGGGTGACAATATACAGCCTTGACGTACTCCTTTTCCTATTTGGAACCAATCTGTTGTGCCATGTCCAGTTCTAAAGCTGCTTCCTGACCTGCATATAGGTTCTTCAAGAGGCAGGTCAGGTGGTCTGGTATTCCTGTCTCTTTCAGAATTTTCCACAGTTTATTGTGATCCACACATCCAAAGGCTTTGGCATAGTCAATAAAGCAGAAATAGATGTTTTTCTGGAACTCTCTTGCTTTTTCAGTGATCCAGTGGATGTTGGCAATTTGATCTTTGGTTCCTCTGCCTTTTCTAAAACCAGCCTGAACATCTGGAAGTTCATGGTTCACATGTTGCTGAAGCCTGGCTTGGAGAATTTTGAACATTACTTTACTACCGTGTGAGATGAGTGCAATTGTGCATTGGTTTGAGCATTCTTTGGGATTGCCTTTCTTTGGGATTGGATTGAAAACTGACCTTTCCCAGTCCTGTAGCCACTGCTGAGTTTTCCAAATTTGCTGGCATATTGAGTGCAGCACTTTCACAGCATCATCTTTTAGAATTTGAAATAGCTCAACAGGAATTCCATCACCTCCACTAGCTTTGTTCATAGTGATGCTTCCTAAGGCCCACTTGACTTCACATTCCAGGATGTCTGGCTCTAGGTGAGTGATCACACCGTCGTGATTATCTGAGTCATGAAGATCTTTTTTGTACAGTTCTTCTGTGTATCCTTGCCACCTTGTCTTAGTATCTTCTGCTTCTGTTAGGTCCATACCATTTCTGTCCTTTATTGAGCCCATGTTTGCATGAAATATTCCCTTGGTATCTCTAATTTTCTTGAAGAGATCTCTAGTCTTTCCCATTTTGTTGTTTTCCTCTATTTTTTTGCAGTGATCTGCTGAGGAAGGCTTTCTTATCTCTCCTTGCTATTCTTTGGAACTCTGCATTCGAATGGGTATATCTTTCCTTTTCTCCTTTGTTTTTTGCTTCTCTTCTTTTCACAGCTATTTGTAAGGCTGTGAAATCATTTTGCTTTTTTGCATTTCTTTTCCATGGGGATGGTCTTGATCCCTGTCTCCTGTACAGTGTCACAAACCTCAGTCCATAGTTCATCAGGCACTCTGTCTCTCAGATCTAGTCCCTTGAATCTATTTCTCACTTCCACTGTATAATCATAAGGAATTTGATTTAGGTCATACCTGAATGGTCTAGTGGTTTTCCCTACTTTCTTCAATTTAAGTCTAGAAGATAATAATTACTTAGAGAAAATGTAAGACAGGGCGATAGGATGAGGGTGTCTGGAGTAGTATAATTTTAAATCGGCTGGTTAATGAAGACCTTATTGAGAAACGGAGACTGGAATTACTCCTTCAAGGAATTGAGGGAATGAGCCATGTAGACATATGGAAAAAGAATACAATGAGAAGAGGAAACAGCCGATGAAGAGGATCCAGTGTGACTGGAAGGGGATAGGTCCTTGTGTACCACTGTAAAAGTTTACTTTGACTTTGCTCTGAGTCATATGGGCATGCTCTGAGTCAGATGGGAAGCCACTGGAGGGTTCTGCACAGAGGAATGACATGATCCGATTTACGATTTGAAAAAGGAACACTTTCACTGTTGCCTTGAGGGGTGGGAAGATTGGAGAGGGGAGACTAGATAGGGAGCTATCACCATCATCTGGCCCGGAAGGTGGTGGCTCTGAATGGGGTTGGTAGCAGTGAAGATGGTGAGAACATTTTGAAGTGGGGAAGTGATTTCATTTCCTTTTCAAAGAAGCACTCTGGTGGCTGAGTAGAGAATAAATTATACATATATAGGGTGGAAGCAGAAAGATCAGTGGAAGCTACCAGAGTGATCCCAGCAACGATGAGAGTGGTGTCACCAGGCTGGGAGCAGTGGTGAGCTCTTCTCCATGGTGACCTCAAGTGAGTGAAGTTTCTCAGTCATGTCCAACTCTTTGCGACCTCATGGACTGTAGCCTACCAGCCTATTCTGTCCATGGGATTTTCCAGGCAAGAGTACTGGAGTGGGTTGCTATTTCCTTCTTCAGGGGATCTTCCCGACTCAGGGATCGAACCTGGGTCTCCCACATTGTAGGCAGGCACTTTTACCATTTGAGCCACCAGGGAATTCCTAATATGTGAACAATACGTGAACTGTGAACTTCCAGATGTTCAAGCTGGTTTTAGAAAAGGCAGAGGAACCAAAGATCAAATTGCCAGCATCCACTGGATCAGTGAAAAAGCAAGAGAGTTCCAGAAAAACATCTATTTCTGCTTTATTGACTATGCCAAAGCCTTTGACTGTGTGGATCACAATAAACTGGAAAATTCTGAAAGAGATGGGAATACCAGGCCACCTGACCCTCCTCTTGAGAAATCTGTATGTAGGTCCTCAAGTTATTCCTAATTTTTCATTATTATAACAAATTTGTCCCTAAATTTTTTATCCACATATTCCCCAGATCTTTTTTCTTTTGAATTATTCTTTTGCATAAGTTCTTA